CCCTTCTGGCCTTCCCCCACCCAAAACAAATGGGAAGCCCAGCAGGAAGCTGCAAGTCATTCCTGCAAATCACTCCCGCTCCTGCTACTTTTTCTCCCAAGGATCCCCCAGGTGGCAAGAGTACATCTTGTACCTGCACTTGCGCCCACCCACAGCACCTACCTGTGCATCCACCTGCAGCACGCACCCACAGCACCCACCCACACTTGCACCTGCTCATAGCATCCACTGGCCCGCACATATTCGTGCCTATGCATAGCACCCACCCACATGCTCACCTGCCTGCCCATAGCTCTCACTCACCAGCCTGCTTATGAGCCACCTAAGAAGGAAAGGCTTGTGACCACACCTTGCAACTTCCTGCTGGCTTCCCCACTGATTTTGCTTGCTGGAAGCTGACAGGAAGTTGCAAGTCGCAGCTTATGCAACTCACAATGACTCAGGGTCCTCACTTAATGACTCATGGTCCACACTTAACGACCACAACAGGGACTGTCAGTATTGCCATCACTAAGCACGGTCACGTGACGTCACGCTTTACAACTGCATCGTTTAGGGACAGAAATTCCAGTCCCAATTATCATCATAACCTGAGGACTACCTGTAAATAAATTACCAGTAGATTTCTGGGATACAGCACCTTTTTACCCACTGTTTTACAGATACACTGCCTATAATTACCATTTCCCACATTACCTGCATTCTCTGTGTTATCCGCTGCTAAGATGACATTCTTTAAATGTGAATCCTGCGGGGGATATCTCTTGTAATGATATGAATGTTTCTGACAAATTAGTCTGGAAAAAGGCACCAACAATTAGACTAGAAGAAACATATGTCTAAAAACAATTAAAATGCTAAATATTCAAGTTTCTATAATGTGAGTTTAACTTGAATGGTGTAAAATCAAGATGAAGTATTGGCTTGAGAATTGATGATGTAAATTCTCTCCCAAAGAAGAGAACTTTTACATACATCAAAGCTTTCTTTTTTTTTAATTAATTTTATTAAAGACATATTTACAGAATAAAAACAGTACAATTTTTAAAAAGTAAAAGAAAAAAGTGATAAGTAAATAAGAAAGAAATAGAGAGAAAAGAAAGAGAAAAGAAAAAAGAAGATATAAAGGAGCGGCTTCCAATCTTCTTTACAGCAGATATAACTGCATTTATATTTTATCCTCTCTCTTTAAGGTTGCATCATGGCTCCCTTCTTTCCATATTCTACCCTTTCTAATTATCAAATCCATAAATCACAAGTTATTTTTTTTCCATTTTCAGAAAAAAGTCCATAAAGGGAGCTTTCTTATTTTTCCCATCACAAATGCAGTGATTTAGAATAAAAAATGTATGTATGTATGTATGTATGTATGTATGTATGTATGTATGTATATGTGTACGTGTACGTGTGTCAATAGAAAAGGAATAAAGATGCCTGCTTAATAACTGTACGGCTTGGAATATCCAAGATTCACGGTCACCAGAGAATGACCTCCGAAAGCCTGGCCTTGTGAGCCTGTTTTGCATTGATTACATGGACTTCATTAGACCGGCACATCTTGTCTCAGATGCTAAATGGACTATGGAGGGGCCAGATTTAAATTTCTTCTCTTCTGTTGTAATGTTCCCATGACTAAATCCTGCTGGGACTAATTGAGAAGAAAGCATCTGTAATTCTATACAAGATCATACGCATTCAGTAAACATTCTAAGTTCTTTTGCCATTTACTTATCTGTTGGATGACGCACCTGAAATCTGCTCCTTTCAGAGCTTTAAATACATTGTGTGCCCTGTCATAGCATGGAATATTGTGGCTTGACATCAAGCTGTGGTGAACGTCAGGCCCAGGAACAAATCCTTTACAGGGACTGCTCTCTTCCATGTTATCTAAAATTCCCAGAGCTGGAGGAGGCTAAAGTAAGAAAGATCAGGTTTTACAAAAATGCTGCTTGATTTAAATAGACAGTTTTCCTTAAGAGCTTCAACATAAAGTTAAATACGTTATAAGATTATAGCCACCCAATCTATCTGAAACATCTTTGGAGTATTTCTGCAGATGATGATAAAAATAATGGTTCCTGATTAACAGAGCCATGTTTAAACTAGAATTTTGAACAACCTCACTGCTACTGATAGAAACAAAATATTTTGTCAAATGTATGAAATCCATATATAGCATATTATCTAAAATGACACACAAGCACACACACAGTGGAAACAGCTGCTTATAAAAGGTTTGCAATTTTTAGATTTTACCTGCATCTTTAGAGATAACTTGACAGGTTTATCCTTCAGAAGACCCTGAAGGCGAGCTAGCTGGCAGCTGGCTTTGGGTCCACTAGAAATGAGCTCTGTTGCCGGGCAGCACCTATGAACTTTCAGTGCAGTGTTGCAAGGTATTCGTATCTTAGGCTCTTTTGTTCAAATGTGCCCATTAAACAATGACACAGAAAAGAAGGAAGAAGAACATCAATCAGATTCTTAACTTTAAAGAAAGTTTCTGTTAACTAATGCACTTCTGATTAACTTTTAATAGAATTTCTTGCCTAATTCTGGAATTAGCTTGTCATGCTATGGAAGATCTAGAATAAATATGAGATGCTATAAAAGATCTAGAAATTAATAGCAGCAAGGCTACATAATATATTAAATGTGAGTGTGCTCCAATATTGATAGCCCCATATTTTCCCCCCAAATCTTAGTGAACAAACCCATAATCTGCTTATGTTAGATAAGAAACGTAAGAAACCCTAATACAGTATAAGAAATTACTTTATGCAAAAGCCTGTGGCCCCGTTTAACACAACACAAGACCCTTAGGGAAAAAGACCTACTGATTCTGACCTTTACCTACCTACCTACCTACCTACCTATTCAGTATATGTTTTAAAAGTCAGAAATGCAGCCGTTACAACTAATTAGACAAAGTCTTCTATCTTCCTCATAAGTAAAGCCAGATGTGTAAAGTATCAATATTCCCCTCAACGGAGGAGTGCTTTGCGTGCCTTTTAGCACCGCTGGTGCAGTTGTTTTTTATGAGATCTATGATGACAATCTTCATATCGCCTTCAAACACTACAGCAATGCTACAGGATGAGTCCCTGGAAAAGCACATCCCTCACTCACAGTAATATATAACGGCATTTCACTTTATAACCAACAAAACTGGTGGTGTTGAAATGCCCTTTAGGTGAGGTGAGTGAGTAAAAACTACCCTTCTCAAAAAGCATGCCTGTGTAAGTTTCTTTGGTGATACTCAGTTGGTTATTCAATGAATTTAGATTAATATAATTAGCTGCAGACCAAACTGAATAGTTTCAGTAAAATTCAGACCGGTAAATATTCTCTGTATCCTTATACCTGATTTGAATTTGTAGGAAAGCATAACCATTTATGTATCTAGAACTGCCCTGGAATGGAATATAGTACATACCTTCTCCACGAGTGTCAGGAGCCAGGGTTCTGTACACAGGTTTTTTGTAAAGCTCAAAATCAATATCCCGTTTGTCCCATCTCCATCTATCCCGATCCAACACTGGCTTCATAATGTTAGCATTGAAAAAATTCTCCTGCCATTTCTAAAGGAAGGAAGGAAGCATAGTAAATGTCCTGAAAATGCATACAGCAATATGAATTTACCCAATTTACCCCATAAAATGAGAAGTGTTTTCCCCCAAAATGTATTATGATTGTTGTTGTCAGTCACACAGTCAGATGTTTAGATTGGATTTGGCATTTTTGTCCACCTTCCCAAGGACCTGGGATAGGCAGATGTTGCTGTTTACGAATATTTTTTTTTAATTAAAACTTTTATTCTGTTTATGACTATTAAAGGTATGGTCACAGGATGTAAGCTGCCTTTTGCAACTGACTGGTGATTTTGTCAATGGCGATGGTGGTATTATTATCATCATCATCATCATCACCCCCAGTGAGGCACTACCTTGACATGGTTGTGGGGCTTGCGTGCTCCAAGGAGGATGAGAGCTATGCCAGGGGTTCAACCATACCAGACAGGTCTCATCAGAGCAGCCAGACTGAGAGTGTCTCTCCCATAAACAATATGGTGAGACGTAATTTACAGACACCCATACTGAATCGGTTGTTGCCGGGTCAACAAGGACCGCACTAGGTGTTCTAGTTCCTGGACATCTGGTGAG